AGCGGTTTGTGGGCTCCGGGTTCGGTGCGTTCCCAGTTATTTACTGGAGAACAGCCAGTAAGGAAATCAGCCCTGTGGTACTCTGATGCCCGGACGTGTGGTACTGTAATGCCCAAAACATCACTCAAAGTGTGCGGCTGTCAGCGCAAAGAAAAGCCTTATAGTTGCAAGCGCAAGGTGGGTTCTTTTGTCCTGGACGCGTGACTGGTACCGGTAACGGGCTGACCCGTTTATTCAGCCCGCCTTCCTTCGCAGAGCTGCAGTGCTCTGGGTTCCGCCTAGGCCCAGGCTGCGGCTCTTGAATATCCCAGTGATGCCGCAGAGTTTTAACTGCTGTCGGCAGGGATGGTGTTGACAGCGCTGCTTCTGCACGTCCTGTGTAACTTGCCTGTGAGGGTGGTCTTGCCTGTTCCTTGTCTGAGGCGGTGCTGGACCCTTGGCTCTGATGTCGGCTGAATTTTTTGTTTTGTGTGTTTTTATATGTAGTGGTTATGGCTGCTCGGATCACTACTATGAGTCTGACACACTCTTGCACTCATTTCAAGTTCTGGCAAAGCTTCTGGAGTCTCCAGCTACTCATGATATTATCTGCGATGTGGGAATGTAAGTTTTTTTGTGTACATCTGATGAAGGGGCAGGTCTTTAGGGAGTGCGGCCTCTGCTGCGTTTCTGGGTAGTGAGGGCTCTGCACCAAACTTAAACACATCCTAGGAACTGCACTGCTTTCCCATGACTAGAACTACAACATGTGAAATGCTTTCTGAACGATAATCCTTTCAAAGATTTCTGGTGATTGAGCCCTTCAAGAAAGAAATAGGATCATTACAGTTATTCCTTGGGAGCCTTCATGGCTGGGTGCTATTGCCTGGGGTAAGACTTTGTGTTCTAGGTCACGTAAAGGGCTTTATAAATTGTCTTTCAGCAGTGTCAGGGCTGAAGTAACTTGCTTTGACTGGTGGGCACCCTTATAAGCAGTATATGTGCATGTCAAAATCACTGAAATGGTTGTAAGTCACGTGCTGGCAGTGACCAACGACAAATTGTTACTGTAAAATTAACATATGTACAGCTGCTTGTTTTACTGTTGATAGAAATGCGTAAGGCTAGCTCTGTTTTGAACTAGCCTGGTAGTGCCACAGGGAGTCACGTTTGATGAAATAAGTTAGCCCAGCCAGGGGGATTCTTCTGGTCTGCTCGTATTTCTCAGGCACACCAGTGATCTGGCAACTTGATATTTCTGAGGCTGACAGAATGGTCAGTAACTCTGATTTTTGCAAACAACTATTTGAATTATAAAATTAGAAGCTAAAACGTGGTATTTTGTTTTGTTTAATTCCCTTAAGTGATATGGTGTATAAGTGTTGTCTTAAAGTAGTTTTTGTGCAGTGAAGTAGATTCTGTAGCTTTTAAAATTTCATTTAACGAGCTTAGCCACCAGTAACTTTGCTTCTTATTTTCGCAGGCCTGTTCTGCACAGAAACGTTCGCTACAATTGTCGAGTGATCTTTTTAAATAAGTAAGTACTTTACGTGTTTTGTGAGACAATGCGTTAGTGTATCCTTTCAGAAACCTGTTTGGCCTTCAGGAAAGATTCTGCAATGCAGAGCGATGGAGTTGTCTTCCTATCTAGTAAATTTTAGCGAGACAGCTAATATTTTCCATGATCTCTTTTTCCTTTCTGAATTTGTAGAAACTAGATTTTCACTGCTTTCTGAGAGACTGCAGAAAAAAACCCTGAAGTCTGCAAACAGAAACTTTAAACAATTATTACATACAATAATTTTTGATGTGCATCATAATAGGAAAAAAATGTTGTACTAGTCAGTGTTCTTATTTAGTCTTGTTTGGCTGTACCTCAGGCATTAACTTGTCCTTCCTGTTTTATGTTTTAAGAAAAATTCTTCTGATCAGACCGAAAACAGCATTGGCAAATGCAGGAAACTACAGGGAACTTAGGTGGTTTACCCCGTGGACCAAAGCAAGGTAGGCTGGCTACCCGTAAGGTTGTGTTTAAAAACACGGCTTGCTGTTTGCAGCCACAGCAGAAGGACCGAAATCTCTACAGCAATCCGTCAGTGCTGCGACGGGGTGAGCAGCAAGACAGGCAGCTAAGCCGTGGAATGAAGCTCACTTAGGAGGGTGATGAAGTACAGTTGAACTCTGAATTGCTGGAGGGAAAAGGGTGGCTGCCTGATCCTGCAACCAGTGTAGGAGTGTTGTTTTCCGTGGGTCTACTTTCTACCTACATGCAGTTCAGAACTGGAAGAGCCTGTGTTTAGCTGCTCGATTCTGCAGCCTGTTCAGTATTAAACTGGAAAACGGTGTGAAATGGATGAGCTCTGTCAGAAGTTTAACGACTGCAGGGGATAAAGGCTGCATACCTTACGGTGCTGCAAGGTACACTTGATGCTCGTCTCTGCTGCCGTGCCCTCATCCTGTGGTCAGTCTCAGTAAAGTACTTCTGAGCGAGCCCCTGAGTGTCTGTCCTCTTAACCGCAGGCAGTTGCAGATGAGTTCTGAGTTACCGTGTGGAAACACTGCAAAAAGAGAAACTTGTGTTTGGTATTTGATTTGCATCGTGTGTTCTTTGGCAGCTCTAGTTTGTAGCTGGGATGGAGTGTTGTTTACCACACATTTCTGAAGCAAAGTGGGATGTTGCAAGCTTGTAAGCTTAACATTTCTGATTAAGTTCACAGAAAGCAGGAAGGTCCTTTTTCTTAAACACACAGAGCCCCGTACAACTGAATCACGTTTCTTTAGTCAGTGTTAGAAGGCGACGCATTGTGGAGTTGAGAATCATTTTTTGTGCTGTGATTTACATGACAATGTATTCACAACCTATAAACCTGCTTTAGGCATGTGGAGGAATACTTTCTACCCAGAATAATTCAGGAAGTGACTGGACAGGTAAGTTTGTAAAGGATTTTTTTCTTTTCTTTTTACCTTTAGCATCTTCCAGACTCAGCAATTTAAACGAATAGGATTTGTGGCATAAAGCTGTAGTCCACCAAATTCTACTGTCAGTCATGTTGCAAATTCATAGGTGTCGGTGATAGTTCTCAGTTACATTAAATGAGAGCATAATGTGACTTTTTTTATGTTAGTATTTGGCAGAAAAACAAGTAAATTTTGAATTTGCCTTGTTTATATGTACAGGACCTTGAAGATTGTCTTATTTTGCCCAGTTCTAGTACTGGGTTTATCTGTGCTTGAGACTAGAAATGAGTATATGTTTTGAGATTAAAAAAACAAAACCAAAACCTCCTTGATTTGGAAGGGACCAAATCTTAGGTTATTTCCTGCTAAAGCATGGGAGTGATTCCTAGCAAAAGACAGTCTCTGTTTTCTAATTCAAAAGCAGTCGTCCTGTCCTGAAGCAAAGCACGGGATCTGAATATTACTGAAAAATCAACACAAAATTTCAGTACAATCCAGAGATTTGGAGTTTAGAGCTTTTTTTTTTTTTTTTTACTTGGTATAAAATGAAGGAAGGTGTAATGTGATTGATACCGTGTCACTCATTTCACAGAAGCGAGTATTCAATTGTGTATTTTTTTAGGTTTGTGGTTAAGTATTTGAATGGAATAGAATCTTCTACTACATGTGTGCAAGGATGTTCTTGGTTTTTTCTCAGGAAACTGTTCCTTTTGGGGATGCAGTGCTAGCAACCAAAGATACCTGCCTAGGGGCAGAAATATGTGAAGAACTCTGGGCACCAAACAGGTAAAGGAGAAGAAGAAATGAAAAGTAAACTGATGTGTATCCTAGACCTGTCTGAAATAAATGTTTGAAAAAATCTGCTTATTATTCTCCCAGGTAGTATCTCTTTCAGAAAGTGCCGGTTAGCTAAAATATGATGTATTTATTGCTCCTAATTATGGGAAGGAGTTCGCTAGGCTAGATGCAGGGTGGCAAAAAGAGTTTTAGGTGCTTCAGCTAAATTAATTTGAAACATAAGGTAGGAGAGAAATACAGAAAAGAAGTGGAATGAAAAAGGTGACCTGAGGAAACAAGTGACGGATAGGTACAGTGTTGTTCAGCTTTGAGTTCAACCTGAGGTTGAAATTGTCTCCCTGGATCCATCTCTGTAACTTGATACAGGGTCAAAGTCACAAAGTTATTCAGTATCTGTTTGTAGTATCGGTCTTGCCTCGCAATTATAATCCTGTGTTGTTCCCACTTACTGTGCCTAGTCTTAAAAATGTGAGAGTACTAGTAGGTCTTTTTATTTACTTTTTTCTTTTTATCTTTGGCTTTGACCAACTCCTCCAAAGCATTCCGCTTGACAGACAAATTTAGCTCTCTCATATTTGGCAAGCTAGCGCATAGGCTTCTAGGCAGCATCGCTTTGAGACGTATCACTTATTTTTTTGTCTGTTTAGCTGCTAGCCTAATCCTTCTGCTTTATTTTTTAACCAGCATCACACAATGCATAAAGACAATGCAGAAGGAAACCACAAAAGGTCGCTAAGGGAAAGCAAAGCCCACTGCCCTTAAGTGTTCTTTCCTGTTGTTATTTTAGTTCCTGTTACACTTTAAAGTTCTTCCCATTCACAAAGGTCTGATGTGGGGTGTGGGTGGAAATATGGTTGCATGAAAGCTGTTGTATTTAACACAAAATAAACAAAACATTGCTGATGGTTTTTCCCAAATCCCTCAGTTACAGACATTTGTTTCCTTGTAACTGCAGAAGGTGTGGTAGGTTACAGACAAAAATGTGATTTGTTTTTTTTTTAGGGTTTCTTTGTTTTGATGTTGGAAAAAGAAAAAAGCAGTAAAAGTTTTTTCCTTCTGGTGGTTCAGTTTGCTTATGCTTTTGGATTTACTAAGAGGGAAGGAAAATGGGACAGCTGACCTTGCAGGAGTATCTCCGTGTTGCCCTTTCAGACCCAAGATTGTCTTGCTCTCTTTCTTTGAGACCCAGGCTTGTATAGAGTAAAGAAGGCGGCATTTCATGTAGAGCGGAGTGAGCAAAAGCCCTTCTGCCCTCTGCAGCCACCACTGGGCTTTGACAGAAGAGTCAGGCAATGCAAGAAAACGGATGTTTTTGAGAGTTTTGTTTGAGCTAAGACATGCAGAAAACTGACAATGACATAGATGTTTCTATTTGTCAGTGGTTTTGAATGATACCTGCAGTATGCACAGCATAGTATATTGCCAGCTGATTTTTTTTTTCTGCCTTTTGCTTTGACAGCCCTCATATTGAAATGGGACTTGATGGCGTGGAAATTTTCACTAACTCTTCAGCGAGTCACCATGTGCTGAGGAAGGCTCACACCCGGGTGGATTTGGTGAATTCTGCCACAGCAAAGGTAGACGCTTAAAAAATAATTTTTTGGGGGGTTGCACCTCTTTTTTTAATTTTTTTTTTTTTCAAAACAGTCGCCTCTCCTGGGACAGGACATAGCATGAGTGTGGGGGGGCCTTGCCAGTCCTTGATATTAGTTTCTTGTTTTCTTACCTGTAATTACCTTCCCTGATTGAATCAGCTATAGGGGAAGAGCTCTCTGGCTGGGGGACTGTGCTACTTTGGGGCACCCTGCTGTATATCATGCTCTAACTGAAGCCCTGTCTGTAACTTGCTTCCAGCTCTGTGACCCCAAACGCCAGAGGCTGTTTGATTGCAGGTCAGCTCTGTCTGGTCCGTAGGGCAGCAGACTAGATGAGAGACCATTTGGTATTTGCATGAGAATAGGGGAGATACAAACCTATCTCTGTGTGTTTGGGGGGAACTCCCAGAAGAAACTTTGCTTGGGAGCACTGGCATGCTGTGTGTCTTTCATACCCATCTATAAAGAAGAGTGAGAATACCTTAAAACACCTTGATAACTTCCAGCTCTGGAGATACATGCTCCAAAAATGTATTTGATATCCTTGATCTTAATTCCATTAAACACTGAAGAAAAAAAATCTTGCACTCATATGATGGATAGAAAATAGTTAATCTGAGTTAACTGACTTTCAGTAATTGCATTTATTTCTGTAATTTCTTGTTTCTGTTGTGTATATCACATGCAGAGTACTTTTTCAAATGACAAGAGAGTCCTAGCTATAAATCATTCACGATGTAAAGACTGAGGAAGATTATAAGAAGGGCAGGAACACAGAAATAACATTTTGTCTTTTAACACTGTCAGGTGCTATATTCTGAAAAGCATTTTTTTGTCTGCTGGTTTGTTTTCCTCCCAGAATGGTGGAATATATATTTTAGCTAACCAGAAAGGCTGTGATGGTGATCGTCTGTATTATGATGGCTGTGCCATGATTTCGATGAATGGAGAAACAGTTGCACAAGGATCCCAGTTTTCACTCGATGATGTGGTAATATATTCAACCTATAGCTGCTGGTCACAGCTGAAATTATGGCTACATTTATGCTCAACACTTCCCAGACATTCCAGATAGTACCTCCATGTCTCTAGACTAAAAAAGTTGTATTTTGACTATGCTGTTCCACTAGATCTGAGGATTTTCTTAGTCAGATTGCTCAGACCTGTTCTGCAGTAGCTCTCCTGCTTTTGCAAGCGAGGAGAAGCTGTCACAGTGGAGGAACTTCATGAAAATGTTTGCGTGTGCAATCACCATGTTCTAGAGAGACCCTGTTAACTTACATTCCCTTATCTGAGGAAAAAAAGGGCAAAGATTGCAGTGTTCTAATTAGGATCCAGTTTGGTAGACAAAAGGTTTGACAGGTTGAGCTTTACTTCAAAAAGCCCTTTCTTGGTAGATTTGTCATCAAAGCTGTAGGTTTCCTCACGTTATGTGCCAAATTATTCTCTTTCCCCAGTGTGCTTCTTCCCTTTTCCTCTTGTCGTTTGACACAATCAATGGTGAACCTATTGTTCAGCCATCTGACAAGCGCAGTAAGTTTGCTGTGGTTTAGGAGTGTCCTCGTGTACTTGGTGAAGCGAGTTGGTGGTGCTCGCTTTGTAACGTAAGTAGTTCTGCTGAGTCAGAAATGACTCGTGAAGTGAGCTTAAAAATTGGTATTGAAGAAAATTGCGTGCATTCTTCTTCCTCGACACTTTTTGTAGTCCAGGCCTGTCAAACTGTTTATCTGTTTGTGTAGAATCAGTCTAATGTTGAAAGCCTTTCCGTAGGAGGTGCTGGTTGCCACTCTAGACTTGGAGGATGTTCGAAGTTACAGAGCAGAGATTTCATCTCGTAACTTAGCGGTAAGAATTCTTTATGGAAGTTAGGTTTGTAAACTCTGCCATGTTCGAATAGTTACTGAGTTTAAAAACTATTTGCATGTCTTGATTTTCATAGTATTCTATAGATCTGATGTTTTATAGGTATTTATAATTTTAATGCTGCATTAAAATTGATGTCTTCCCAATTCTTCTGTACTATTGTTTAGGCAAGTAAAGTGAACCCTTATCCCAGGGTAAAAGTGAATTTTGCTCTGTCGTGTTCTGATGATGTAGCTGTACCTACTTGTATGCCCATCCAGTGGAGACATCATAGTCCTGAGGAGGAGATCAGGTAAGCATGTACTGAATCTATTGCTTAAAAATGATTTTGATTTTTAAAAAACCCCCCATGATTTAAAAAAAAAAAAAAAAAATCACAAACCAAACCCAAAACTCAAACAAACCAAAAAAAGAGATAAGAGATAAACATAAGATTGTATTTATATTTAAGTGAAGAAAGTATCTCATTGGAAGACTACAGTAAATATGCTGACTTGCTTTGGTCTTATTCCATAACCCTCTTGGAATAAGCATATTCTGTACTTTCAGCCTTGGTCCTGCATGTTGGCTTTGGGACTATTTAAGGCGCAGCAAACAGGTAAGAGCAACTGTTTCTGTTCCTTGCCTCGGCATACACCTCTTCTCCTGTGCCATGGGGACGGCACACTCTGCTATCCTGCACTGCTGTTAACGCAGAGTGGCGTTTGTCCAGGGTGCAAGGTTGGAGTTTTGCACTGGTAGCTCATTCTCACTTAAAACCCGTATGTAAAGCGTGACTTCAGTGTGCTCTTCAGAGCAGTTCCTTAGGAATCATGCTTGCTTTGAAAGCAACAGTCAAGCTTACCTAATGCAGGGGATTTCTTTTTCTGTGAAACACTATTTTTTTCAGTAACGAAAAGATTTTAATAGCATAATGGAGATATTTAAAATAAGCGGAGTGATGTGAACTGGTAATTCACTTTAATAGTGAAATGCATATGAAAAATGTAATCTTTTTTTTGCTAGCTCCTCCGTCTTACTAGAGGGTGAAGACATAATGAAAGTTTTTCTGGCCAAAGGGCTTACACTGACTACTTGTTTGATTATCCAGTGGATGAGAGTTTAAGAGGGTTTGCTGGGTCTGGTTGTTTGGTTTGGTTTTCGCCAGTAGAATATAAGCAGACTTGAGCAATGCACGTGCAGCTCTTTTACAAGAGTACGTTTCTGTGGTATAATATATATTTTTCTAATTTTGCTGATTGGAACGTCTTCCTTGCTCTGTTTTCAAGGCAGGATTTCTCCTACCTCTGAGTGGTGGAATTGACAGCTCTGCTACAGCTTGCCTAGTGTACTCTATGTGTCACCAGGTTTGCCTGGCAGTCAAGAATGGCAGTAAGTCGATATGCGTGTCTGGCGAGCTGTGCTCAGCAGTGGTTACAGACAGGTTAATGTTTGCTAGGTGCAATAGATGCAAAAGGTCATTTAATGGCAGACTTGCCCAGTTGTTCTAATGGACTCCTTGGTAGCTCTACAGAAATTCCAGCAAAAAATTGAGAATTTTTCTTTTATTATTTTATTTATAATGAAATATTTATTATTTTTATTTATAAAATTAAAAGTAAATTTATTTATAAATAAAATGTTATTTAATGCTTTATTAAACCAATTCAAAGAACCAGATTTCAGGTTCTTTGAATTGGCTTGATAGTTTTCAGTTTGGGTTTAAGAATTGGATGTGGAACTCAGACTACTTTCTATCTGGAGTATCGTCCAAAATGTTGTCTGATGTGGTTTTGGGATTTCAATTTATCATGAGAATTTCTTCTATTAAATTCAGCACTATGAAACATAGATAGGCATGGTTCAAACTCTTAAACTGGCTTTAAGTAGACTAATGCATTTAGCTAAGCCTTTGTACGTATTGGATCCTATTTTCTACGAAGTTTCTTTAAGGCATAGAACAAAAGGATTTAATATTTCCGTGTTCCAAATTAGGAAATCAGTAATTCTTTTATTTGATATGTGAAAATGTCTTTGGGGAGTCAGATGGTGGAATCATCTTATTCATGAGGGGCAGCGTAAAGCTTAAGTGGAATACAAGAAACACACACGGTATTTGCATATCCTGGATAGCAGGAGCGCAGCAATTTCCACTCTTGTCTGTTTCTTTTGCTTTGCTCTCAGATGCAGATGTGCTGGCTGATGTGCGCAAGATTGTGAATGATGAGACCTATGTCCCTGAGGATCCTCGAGAATTTTGCAAGCATATCTTTACCACTTGCTATATGGCTAGTGAGAACTCCTCCCAGGATACTTGCAACAGAGCTAAGCTTCTGGCTGAGCAAATAGGCAGGTACAAGTTGAGAAGTGCTGGAAAAAACCATCGTGTTCCAGCAAACTCTAAAATGGGAAAAAATAGGAGAGGAATAGTAGGTGTGCTAAGTGGGAGTGTTACAGATGATCTTATTTGAGTGTGTAAATGTGAGGTAAACTTAGAAACATTTGGTGAAGGACATGGAAATTTGGAAACAGACTCTGGAAAGTGTTTTCTAAGTTTCTTCATACCAAATCTGAGATGGTAGCAGCCTTAAAACATCATTTGATGGGTGGGGGTTTTGTTGGCTTTTTCTAATGCTATTTTATATAGTCTGTGCTAGTTGAGTCACTTCTGCTTGAATTCTTCTCAGCTATCACATCAATCTGAACATAGATGTGGCTGTGAAAGCTATTGTGGGAATTTTCAGCATGGTGACAGGTCGAACTCCCCGTTTTTCTGTCTACGGAGGGAGCAGCAGAGAAAACCTGGCACTCCAGAATGTGCAGGTGTGTTTCATGTAGGCTGAATCGGGTCAGACCCTGTTTTTTTTTGGTTTTTTTTTGAAAGAGTACAAAATAGTAAAGTAGAAAGGGGGCCCTTCAACTGTGTTGCTGTGAAAACCTGAACTTGCTATGCTGTGTCCCTGAAGACTGGGCTTCCAGTAAATTCTCGTCTGCAGCAGAATGAGCAGCGAAGTATTCTAACAGTCAAGTCTGAGTTCAGTGGGATTGTGGCAGGTCAAGACTCAAAAATACTTCTGATGTGTACTAGACTTCCCTCTGGGGAGTGTTAGCAGCCTTTAAAAGGCTCTGTGTGAGATGTCAGGCTTACCCGTTGCAATTTCTGGATGTCCTCAGTGTTAGAAGGCTTTTTACAGCTGAAAGTATTTAATCTTCAATAGGCTTATAAAATGCAGCTCAAATGCACATTTCCAGTTACGCGTTTGCATTGTGTCAGAACAGACTGGTGCTACGCCTGGGTAGTGCTGGTGTACATATCCTGTAGGATCACAGGAAACATAGCTGCCTGCTGACTTTTAGTCCCTGGCTCTGGTTGTACCTTTTGTTTGTTGTCTTGATAGCTTTCTTTTTGGCCTATTCTTAAAAGTTTCCAACCGAACCAGCAACTCTGTTTTAATTCTGGCTAAATATTGATTATTGAGTTTGATAGTTTTTGTTAGCTGAGAACTTGATCTTTCTTCCCCTGGCATCACTGGAGAAATCCAGCTGTCTCTGGAAGGAAGCACTGAATCCTTTATTAGCTTTTTGGCAAAGGGGTAGGCTTTAGTCACAGAGAAGTGTGGTAACATCACACACAGTTTTGGCTAGAGCTGGAGGTTGTATCTCAGGTCTGTTTGGTATTATTACCATCCTTAGAAAAAGTTGAGCTTTGGAATGGGGACAAAACAAAGAGTACTTTTTACAAATCCTATGTAAATAAATCCCTTTAGTCTAATAGTTTATAAAAGGGTGTAGTAGACAGAGGGTTTATCTGGATATTTCATACCTCATGGATCCTTGTTAGTGCTTGTAGAAGGCAGAAAATGGCAACTACTCCCCATTCTGCAACTTAAGAGTGGCATAAACTTGCTTTGTCATTGTAAGTCTGAGGCAGCAGCAGATACTGAACCAGGCTTTCCTACGTGTGTTTGGCATCTTCTCCACAAGACCCTCCTTTTTGCAGTAACACTCTCTCGCATTTTGTTCTTTATGGGGTGTTTAGGGAATTGATTAATAAAAGTGATTGGGGAGAAATTATTCTGCTTTGTAAATTTACTTTATTTTTCATTTTGCTTTGCAGGCCAGAATAAGAATGGTCCTCGCCTACCTGTTTGCTCAGCTGACACTTTGGACTCGTGGGATGCCAGGGGGACTTCTGGTGCTAGGGTCAGCCAATGTGGATGAAAGGTTGGTGAAAGTTAGAAATCTAAAACCAGGGGAACGGGGAACAGGTCGCTGCATTTCCTTTCAACTCTTAACAAATCCCAGTGTAGATTATTACTCAGAAGAGGTAACAAGCTAAGGATACACAGATAGCAGTGAAATTAATGAATTAACCTGAATGGAAAACTGTATTTTTTCAGAAGTTTAGCCAAAGTATTGTCATAGTTTTCCACTTAGAAGGCTGTTCCTTCCTTAGCTGTTTTCAGTAGAGCTTGCCTGTGCAGTTCCCAGGTTAACTTTTCAATCCGTTACTTGTTGTATTTTCAATTACTGTATTAGGAATGAAGTTGCGAACTCTGAGTTGAAAAATAGATTTTAAAATTAATAGAGCTGACTATTTGAAGATTAAAGCAATCCCCATAAGATTACGGGATTGATAACCTCTAAAGCTGTGAGAGTAGTGTGTGTTGATTTTGAGGATGGTTTGGGCTTTATTTTTTTTTAATTGGTCAGGACAGTATTTTAAGTGTTTTGCATCAAATACATTACCTTAGCGTGGGCAGTTTTGCAGTGCTTCATCATTGCTTAAAATACCATCTTCCTCCTCGTGGCAGTTTCATGGCTCTAGGGTAGCCCTGTGGCAGCTGAACACGTTTGCCCCTTATGTATAAATACATTAACAATACGCAGTCTGTTTCTCCCTGTCTTTATACAATGTGTATATTCTCTGTAGTATAAACTTATATATTGTACTAAAGCTACGTTATTATTTACTGTTACTATATAAAATTTCCTCGCTTGCTCAGTCTCCGAGGTTACTTGACAAAGTACGATTGCTCAAGTGCTGATATCAATCCCATTGGTGGAATCAGCAAGACTGATTTGAAGAACTTCATACAATATTGCATTGAAAATTTTCAGCTCACGGCCCTCAGAAGGTGAGTAGGGAAGCAGCGGTACTGGGTGACTGTATTTGTATGCAGCGTATTGTGGACTTTATGGTTTGGTTTTCTCTACTAACAGAGCTAAGCTGCAGTAATATTGCAAATGCTCATAAAGAAAAGTGTTCTGCACTTGCCTCTGGTTTTGAACGGTTGTGTATGCTTACACAGTGTCAACTGCTGGGTGCTGAAAACGCCACCACTTGGGAATTACTGTATGCAAGCGTTTGTGGTGTTAATTCCTCTGAAGGAACTGTTTGAACCAGATGCTTTATGGTTTTGCTGGAAAGTATGGCTTTTTAAAGCTGGAACAGCTTGCAAGTACCACTTCTTTAGAGTTATCTAGTCCTTTAGCAGCTTACGCCCTGAAAAAGTTTTGAATGAAGCATTTGATTTTTAACAAACCAGACTGTTTGTTAATTGGAACTCATGAGACTGGATAGAATTCATGTTTTTCTTTCTACCTTTTTCTTACAGTATCATGTCAGCTCCACCCACTGCGGAGTTGGAGCCCCTGGTGGATGGACAGGTGGCTCAAACTGATGAGGTAATAGGCAGTGGCTTTAAAATGCTCTGCTAAGCCTTAACCCAAATGTTGTTTTTTGTCCAATAACTATTGTTTGCTCTTGTATGTGTCCACGCTTATTGACAAGCACATTGTAAGCAGTCTTAAAGCTGCTGACAAGGCACTAGTATCCCACACCAGCCTTATCTATGTTAACAACAGTTTCCAAACCAGCAAATTAACTTTTTTTGGAATGATTTTATGTTTTGGACACTTAGAAGGATGGGTGTTCTGAAATTCAGTTTGTTTAAACTTTCTTAATATCAAAAGTGAGTCAGTCGAGGCCTTACTACTATTAAAATGACTGATGGCAAAGTCCTTCCTCTTCTTCCCACACCCTTCTCTCTGCTATCCACTAGCCTGAGAGAGGACTGGTAAGCCCAACAACTGCTTCTGAGGGCTGCTGGATATTTAACTGTAGGGTATTGTAAAACTCTTTGTGATAAAGCAAAGGGTTGCTGAACTAGAAATAGTGGTTTTCTTCATCTGGCCTTCCCTTCCTGATATATGCTGCATTTAAGCTACCTAGAGAGGAAAATGAACAAATCTTCCTCAGGAATTAAATGTTTTCACTGGCCAAATCAAATACATTCATGGAAGAATTTTAAATCTCCCATTTCAGAGAGATTCCAGGGTTTTTTTCCTTTCTCTTCTACTTGTAATATTACTATCTCTTTGTCTTTTTGATTGTTGGCAATTTCATTTTGGTGTTTCTTTGATTAAACTGGGTTACTGTAGTTGCTCCATAAAGCTGTTAATTATAATTTGCATAGTTCAGATTTTCAGTGACTTTCTCTGTGTGTGATTTCAGGCAGATATGGGGATGACATATGCAGAGCTCTCAATCTATGGCAAATTAAGAAAAATTGCAAAGGCTGGGCCATACAGTATGTTCTGTAAGCTGATTAATATGTGGAAGGAAATTTGTACTCCAAGAGAGGTAATATAACACACGCCCC